ATGGAACGTCGCCATGTCGACTGACATTGACATTAATGTAAAATTTATACAATAACTGGCCGCTTGTTTATCGCTAACGCCAACATGTTATGCATATCAATAGGTGAGTAACAGCTGTTTAAAAACCATCCATTATGGATAACCCATTACTTTCTTTAAAAAAAAAAACGGGGCCACGAGAGTCTGCAGTTGGAGGCAGCCAATGCCAAGACTGTACTAGCGCGACGTGGCAACATCACCAGTTCACTACTTTTCGACACTAATTAAAATATACAAAACTATATTTTCAAATCAGCTGGTATTATTAGATTTGGCAACACCGCACTGTCCTCATTGGCTCCTTCGAAGTCACGTGGTAAATAGGCTCCTCCTTCAACTGCAGACTCTCGTGGACCTTACTGTAGGTTGTTGGTAAAATGTAATATTAATCTTGCATATTCAGAGTGACTCGAAGAGAAGAAACTACAAGTATGAATAATTTTAAATTACCAGTTAGTTTTGTTTTCTTTTAGACCCCTTGTTGTATTACTTCGCATCACAACACACACATTTACATTTTGGATTTGAAAGGTAGAGGTAAGGTGTCGTAAAATTAATCAGCGTGAAAAATTAGACTGGCTGTATTAAAAGGGTACAAAATTTAATTTTTTTTTGTTGTTAACGAAGTTTGCTTCAGAAAATTTAACATAGCTGTCGTTTCACTTTGGTATTGATACATCTATGGACGCCTGCAAGATAATGTGGTAAAATAAAAAACGCACAATTTAATAGCCTCTTCTCCCAAATATTCCCAACATAGATACTCAACATTTTAATTTAAAATAAAAAAATATAATAGCATATAATATTTGTTATTTACTCACGGACTATAAATACTAACATAGCGCAACCTTTAAAATCATACTTTTGTTATTAAAATGGTGAAATTACTGTTTTCCAATCATTAATTCATTATTTTCCGGATTTGCACATCATTAATAAATGATTGATTGGTTAAAACTCATTAGTGTGTTTGTAATCATTGAGCCTTTAATCGGTTACTGGACACGGGACCTTCCATTTAAATTCGTATGCGATTAATTATGTTATTGACTAAGTCTTTTTACGCTAAGGTATTATTTTCAACTACTACTAGAAAACGTTATGATTATTTAATCTTACGTGCATATTGCTACACTTAAGAAAATATGAATTATCGTGAATATTGAAATTATCAGTAAATAAATCGCATAAATATACCTATCAAACTTTTAACGAGCCCATGTCATTAACAGCCAAATATATTCAGTTCGATTCACGCACAGAAGATGTTTACATGTAACGTTTTTAAAATACGGTGTACATAACATTTACATGAACATAGAGCCCTGCCTATTAATTGAGTTATATTTAACGAAATCAATTAAAACTTGATTAATGCCAATCGATACATATTTTTGTGTGACCACTTGGCAATATCATTATATTTCTATACATTCTTGTAAATCCAAATAACAGTTTATAATCTGTTGACGATCTATTTCCCTCTAAATTCTCTAAGTAATGCGTATTTTATTTCAGTGTAAGTGTTGCTTGACATGGGTTTGTTTTTATTTGAGTATATTTTAGGAAATAACTTCAGGATTTCTGGTTCCATTCCTCTCAACTATCAGTAAGAGTGACTATAATGCTTATAAACTCTAATTACAACAACGTGCTTGCCAATAGGAAAAATATTTGGTTCTAAGGTGATTAACTTCTTGGGTTTAGATTACCAACTTTCTGCATGTAACAACTATTACTGACTTCACTACCGGTACCTGCAGTTTAGATAGTAACCCCTCATTAATACGGACGTCGTTTAATCCGGACGGCGATTTGACAGTGCTTCAGTAGTTTCATGTTATTTTTATCCAGAATACACTATTCAAGCTTTTTTGTAAAAGATGTTTCATGAGATTAGATTTGTTCGATGCCGACACCAGGTTGCACACTTAAAGGCAAAGATGTACATTATTTAATTATTTATTTTATGATGAATTATATAAAATTAATGGCCTGAGAATGAGTGTTAAATAGATATTAAGACAGCTTTATTACTAACTAATATCAGGGGGTTCATTAACCAGGGCCATTTATTTAACACCCAATAATAATAATAAAGGACAACTGGATTCAGTTTCAAACACTCAAAACACTAGGTACTGATTTGTCTATAGATTCAACTGGCATTGTTATAATTAAAATGCGATCACTATAACCACTCAGTGGTATAGCACGGGACTTTGGTCCCTGAGGTCCTGGGTTCAAATCCCGTCAAATCACTAATGAACTTAAGTGATAATGCTGCAACCCCTAGGTCTAGCCTGATGTAATTGGAATACAATCCTAGGCTAGAGCCTTAAAAACTATAACCACTAAGTTATAGTATATTGTTTATATTGCTATTATAAACTAGGCGTACTCAAACGGTTTATTATACTTTATCCAGATGCCTTTGGTCCCTAATTAGACCGGTTTATTGAAAGTTCTCATCCCATTTTAAACTTGCCACAAACTATGATAGTCAACTATCCATTCTAACCACCTTACTTCCTTCACTGACATGCATAACTACCCTTTAAACGAACATCAAACACCTTTTAACAAATTCAAAACACTTACTTTTTACTGAGCGTGGTTTCGACTGTTTTCTGCGAGGCATGCTGTGGCTTGCAGACTTCTTATCTCATCCTCACGTAAACCTAACCTAACCTCACTCGCGCTCGCGACTCCCGCCAAAATCTGCCGCGCTTTTGTCCGGCCTCGCCGCCGCTCTCGACACTACTGGCGTTGCGTCGCGACGCTATTTGACGCATGCGTCCGCGATTTCCTCACCTTCCAGACGCACGCCGTCGCTTTTATTGTAATCATAAAGCCAATAAGTTGTGACTCGAGGGTGTGCAGTCTCCACACATCCCCTCGTTCGGGTTTTGTGTTATTAATTGGTATCGAATTTATTAACTCGTCGATACAGAGAGACCTGTTGAGTCGGCAGGTTTCCATTTTATTTCAATCCAAATTTTGTGTGTTTTATGGGGCGTTTTTACCGCTTGTTTAGCATTAGGTGATTAGTGTTTTAACTGTTATTGCAACATTCTAAGAATATGAAACTTGTTATTATTAAGTTTCTTATTGAATTTGTTGACAACAAATTATTGATTGATAATAATATTATGGTAGCAATATATTTTTCGTATCGATGTTTGAAATAATAACATTGTTATGTTACGAATAAAACCCTTCGATTAAAAATAGACTTTATGTTCTTTCAATAATTGTTTGAATTGTTTGTTATTATTTTTTAGTTCTTTAAAATTTTAGAAAGCTTTTAGAAGGTTTGGGATATTGATAACAACTACTAGACCTACTTTTAGGTCGGTTAGCAATGGCTGTTAACAATATTGTGTTCTCATGGTACTTAAAATGTCAATAGCAAGTTAAAATTAATTTTAATAACTAGTCAAGCGTTCAACGAAAGGATGATTTCCTTCATTTCTCAATGTCTAAGGATTCCAAAAATATGTTTTTCTCTCATCTATGAAGAACTCAAGAAATAATCCCCTTGTATTCCCTAATCCAAAGTACTCAAGACATTGTTTGCCAATATTTTCTATGTTTTTATGAGCTGTTAAAAGTCGCAAACTACTGTACATTAATAGAGTAACGGATAAACTAATATTAACTTTTACTTTACATTTCAATAGGCTAAGTAATTTGTTATTCTAGCTACTAACACTGCTAATATTAGTATTTCGCATCCATCACGAAATTGTGATTGCCACCTTTGCACCGGTTCCTTGATTATATTACATTCAAATACATGATTGCTCTCGTCTCAAATAAATAAATGAGTTAGCACTTTTCCGGGTTACGCATTAAATAATCCCGTATTCTTCTTTGGCTGGAAATTCTGATAATGTGGACTGTTTTCTGAGATCTTTGAATCTATAATGAAGTATTTATATATCACGGTAACAGCTTTGGATTTCGGGAGGTGTTAAGATATAAAATTGTACCTTATTTTCTGTAAAATTACTAAAAATCTTGATACCTTAAACAGAAAATAGGGCGGTAGTCCAGAAGGGATACGCCTTAGCTGTTCTCTAATCAAATCATGGGCGCCCACAAGGGGGGGGGGTTGCTAGGGGTGCACTTGCACTTGCACCCCCTGACTAAAACAATTAAGAAATGAATTTATTACCTAGAATGTTCTGTCATTGGAATTAGAATTGTAGAAGTAATTAGTAGTAATTAGTAATTTTATAAGCTAGTTAGAATGTAATTCTAATTAGTTTTATTAATGAGGAATCTATGTATGTAATTTATAAATGTACGTACATTACATAATGGTCATTAAACAAATTTTTTTCTAATATGAAAATCAAATACGTAAAAAACTAATCAAATAATTAAAAAATGAAACAATACTATACATTTTAAGAAAATGCAAATCCGATTCATAAAGTTTCATTGCAATCAATAAGTAAACGTGATCTAAATTTGGCTTGAGATACAGTAGTTAAACTCCAAAAAAATCCCTTCCAGAAGAAGTTATGCAGTTTGACAAATCAATTAACCATCAATTGATTATAACAAATAGACCTTTACTCAAACTGTTTTGAATGTCAAGTGAATGGATTCTTTTTAGTATGAATGTTTCTTTACTCACTGCTAGATGATGTGGACGATTATTTCATTTCACTTTATATTTGTTTATAGTTTGTTTACTTCTTTGATGATACAGTAGTTTATATTATAGGCATATGCTTGATTTATAATCGCTGATGAGTTAACTTGTAATATAAATTAATAACAATTAATATAAGAGAGTATTTAATCTACGCTTAAGATTTTGAGAAGGTATATTTTGACCGTTAAACGCCGAAGCTTCACGAAGAAACATTGTAGACCACCAACTTGCGACCAGATTGACCTTACCTTGTCTTGTCTGTCAAATCAAATACTAACCTAACCTAAAACATAAACAAATACATGTGATGATATGGGGGTAGACTTACGTTAAATAATCTGAAATTTAATACTTTTATGATTAAAATACTATTGAATGAGTTAATATATAGAGGCAATAATAATGTTTCAATAGGCTACAGTACTCATACAACCACATCATAAATTGACTTATCATTAAACATTTTATGAAATCTATTTTACACTACCTAGGCTAAGTTATAGGCCCATAACTTAACAAAATCTTAGATCAGGATGGAGGACGTATTGTTTCCTGTTCAAAGGTAAGGACTATATAAGGATTATTTAAGCCATTAGGTGTATTTAAAACTAGCTATGTAGGTCTGCGACTTAATTAATCAAGTCAAAGCCAATAACAATAACTGTCCCTCTTTTATAGTGTTTTATGGTTTTGTTGTAAATTTATTTTATTTGCCTGGTTGAATTAGCCTATTTCATAGAGAATCAGGCCAATTAACTTAAGGCCGTTATTATACAAAGCCACTGCGGTGTCGCACGCGCTTGGCCACACCTGTGGCGCATGTAAGCCTCAGCAGTGGCTTGGCCTAGCGACTAGTGAGCCTCAGTGTTATAGATGTCTTCGTCAAGTGAGGAAGAGGACATGTTGCTTCTTCTCTTGCTAACTAAAGAAGTTGGTGAAAGAATAGGGGCATTGGAGTGTATCCCATTAATATTCTGCAACATTAAGATTATCTAACACATTTAACTTATAATCCATTCAGGTGTATGACCTTTCGGCATTTTCACTGCGCAGGTAGACACACAGCAGTTCACACAAGATCATACGACATCTAGGGTGGTTTTAAAGAGTCTAGATGATGACTAGACTACAGTAAGTTAGTGGCGTAAAGTGTACTGGCTTGACCAAAGTGGCGGAGTATAGGCTAATAAGTGCCGTAGCAACCAATGGTCGCTACCACAGCCACAGTCACCTCACCTGTTGCCGCCACAAGAAGCGAGAGTGCACGACTGAAGTGGCTCACCCATACTAAGTTTGCGGCAACTGGGCATAAGTTAGCTGTGGCTGTGTCTAATATGCTTTATTTCATTGATTGTATCGCTTGTTTACGCGTCAGGAGTGGTGGCGAGCGATCGCCATTCCTGTGTCTCTGTGTTATAAGGCTCTTAGATCTTGTCTGATTCATTATCTTACTTCCTCACCTAAAAATTCATTACAATCAGTTGAGATGTCTCTAACTTACCCTTCACAAATGGCCGGTTTGCGAGCCAAGTGTTGAATAAAATCAGTGTTATTATAAGCAATTGGCATAGTTTACTTTAGCTTACCACTGGGTATGGGTACATATTGCATTTGCCCTACAAATCATGATGCAAGCCATTGGTTCTCGTTTTCATTAAGGAAAACTAAGGTCCAAATTAAGCTAAAAAGTATTAGGACCGGTCTATATTTGATTTTGTCTCCCCCTACCACTTTTAATAACCTTACTTATATCATCAGTTTACAAACTGAGTGTTCAATTGAACTAAATAAGATATTACATCTAGCCTTTGTAGTTCAGATCAACACTTTACAATTAATCGCAAATTTAAGTAATTTTCGTCCTTTTTAACCCAAGGATGTTGGTCTGATGGGAATGGTAAAAAAGTAACCGAATGGTTAAAGGGTACCGGTAACTGTGGAATATCAACCGTTGTAGGCCTACATCAACTAAAATTATTTCACCGTTTGCATTAAAATTTGTAAGGCTCAAATGTAGCACTCAAGTATAGGCCTAAGTTATGTAATTTTAGTTTTCTGTGTTTTTGTCTTTTAACTACAAGAAGATAAGATTACTTAGGATTTATCCAATTAAATAAAACACTTTTTCTTAATTTTCAGGTATTATGGAGACGAAGATCCAGGAAAAACTGTTGATTCTGAGAAAAATAAACTAAACTTATTGGCCAAAATAAAAGAAAGAAAAAAACTTAAAAAAGTAGAAGAGAAAACAAAACATGTTGATGAAACCATCTCTGAAGCCAGTATACCTCAAGATATTTCTTTTGCCAATAATAGTCCACCCATAAATGATCCCAGCGTCAATCACAATACAATTCATGTTAAAAAGAAGCACAAAAAAGAAAAAAAGAATAGAGAAACTAATCCAAGTTTTGAAGATGAGTCTTCAGTTTTGCCTGAAGAAATCGATAGGTTAAAAATTGATGACTTAGAAGAAGAGAACCTCAAGAGAAGTCAAGAATTAAGTGACAATACTGCAGATAATTCTGCTGAGGGCAAAGAAGTATTTCCTATAATTGGGGATTACAAATTCAAGAAGAAACATAAGGTTTGAGATTTGTATTAAGTCTTGTTTAGTATCTGCCTCATAAAATCATTTTATGCTGTGATTTCTACCTCAAAATAGTATATTTCATCACTAAGGCCTAAAGTGACTCTATTTGACCCGAAGTCAAGTTTTATCATTTAAGCGAAGCCGAGGTCGGAAAATGAGCGGGGGTTAAAAAGTCACTTTTTGCCCGTGTGGTGAACTATATTTTTCATCATATTGAATCGTTAATTAACAAACAAAGCTAAAAAACAAAATTTTGTTTAAAGATAAGTTAGTGATTCAATTTTTTTTTAAGAAGTGATTCAATCATTTCGTCTATTACGATTGTGTTACAGTAGCCTACATTATACCATCGATATGTCGAGCAATCGACAACAATGGGCCATAGCTCTCGTACCTTACCTAATAAATCAATCAATAAATAATTTTGATTGATACGGTTGCCACAATCAAAATTTAAAACTGTTTACAACGGCTGATTTTTACTCGCTAGAGAGTAAAAATGTGACTTTAGACCCGCAACACTTGCATTAAAAACGGCTGTTTTTGCTGTAGTATGACGAAAAAACATTGATCTGTTATGCCAGATGGTACTCTACGGTATACTGTTCTGTAACACTAGATACAGTAGAACCTTGATAACAAGACTCTCATGGGGATTGTAAAATAAGAATTGTTATCAAGGTTGACTTCTTATCGAGGTTTGTAATAACATGTGATTAGGGGTAAAATAATTTTAAGGGGATTTGAAAATGACATTTGTTTGGGTGACTTGTTGGGTCTTCTTATCAAGGTTCCACTTACGTGCAGACTGGGCCTAGCAACAGAAAACAGTATGAATGAAGCCAAACAATAAAGTATCATTACGTCTTGTTCGTTTAATTCTGTAAAAATATTCTTAGTTGAAAATAATCTTCATGTTTTTTTTCAATCACCAATGAACATTGGCTTTTAGTAAATGTGATGTAATTTGGCTACCTTATACTGGTTAAAAAGTAGGCTAATTCAATTTTATTATTTAACAAACTTATAAAAAATCTATATTCTTTAGCCTACAGATTTTTCTTTATTTTGCAGGCCTTACCTTCTTACCTTTCATTAGGCCTACATTTAGTGTGAAAGCAATTGAATTAAAATAGAATTGTCTTAGTAATAGCATTGACTGTACCTACAAGTACACCTACCTGTAGGTAGTCAATAGTAATAGGTTTTCCAACACTGCAATTATTGTTTCATATTGCGTTTAAAATCAACGTTTGACATTTGTAATTATATATGTATAGCTTAGTGGAATATCTAGTTTCTTTACTAACTAGGACATCTGAAGAAGAACAGAGAATGAAGTTTTGGATAAATTGCCTCCATTATACCTTCATTTCATTTGGTAACCAAAAGGTTAACAATATTCACAATAGCCTACCTTCTTTCTGTTGCCTCTAGATAAAAAATTAACAACTTTTAAATGTCTTGTTCCTATTATTTGTCGTCAGATTAAATTTTACTGCCAAACAATACCTGCTTTCTTTGAGTATCATCAAAGGCTGACACTTAGGCCTCGGGTACGATACGACCGGTGAGCGGTGCCGTCTGATATCAGGTCTGTTTGTTGAGGTTGGCCAAGTAGTTCCAATTCTCATGGCTCATGGTTTCAAGTCCAAACCGGTTTTTGCACAAACGCCTCTCGCCGTTCAGATGAGTCATGCTTCAGTTTAGCCGAAAATTTCAGAGGAGTAACAGAAAAAGTGCCTCCAGCTAAATTTGAGAAGAAAGAAGTGAAGTTGAGTAATTTACAAATATAAGTGTTAATACGTCAGGTGACTCTGAACTAAGTGAGTTATAAACACATTATCTTAGTCTTACCGTAAAGTAAAGACAAGTCTTTCTTATCTCAATCTGCTCAAAATATAGTCAAGGGAAAGGATGGGCATCGTTGTTTATTCAAAGAACCTATCGCTGTCTTCCCTAAGTTACCGAATTAGACAGTATTCCCCAAAAACTCCTCTCCTCTTGTTGATCGGATGTACCCCCCATTGTAACCGACACCTCTAACTTCTCTCTAAGAGCAAATTGTCAGTCAACAATAGTTGCAATACGTTCTGCGAGTTTACACAGCTTGCCATCTTGAACTAAATTGACACCTACAACAGGGGAAACTCTATGAGCGTTAAGAAAACAAAAGTGACTCTTGTATCGTAGTCACCACGCTGGCTTTGTGTCGCTCAGGTTGCCTCACACCGCTCGTTTTGTACCTGGGGCCTTACACTATAGGTCACTGTATTCTAAGATTAAGTCTTAGCCTAGCCAGTTAGGATATTGGTTCAGAGCAAGAGCAAAAGTACTTGCAATAAATGACAACTCGGTAGATGATGGAAAAATTCATGGTTCCTGGCACTGGTTGCAAAAGTATGTGTTTGAAAATCATCACTTTACCTGTTTATAACCCTCAACTCTCACCACAGTGTGAAACTCTCATTTGATCACCTTTCCCAAAGAGACAAATCGACCTTGGTCACTCATTTGACATTTATATTTCACAGGTCAAGAGAGTTTTACCAGACTGGCTTGCTAAGCCCTCAGTTGTGTCTGTAGACCTAAAAAATTTGGACGTATCAATCAATGACATTCCAGAACTACATAGTTTACTGGTGAACACTTTGCAGAAGAATAATATCACTCATTTCTTCCCAGGTAAGCAATGTTTCTATTTTTATACAGCACGTACTTATTTGCGTACAAAATCTCAACTAACCAAAATACAGATGGAAAGCTGTTTCTGATGTTCTATTTCTTCGGTTAAGCAATGGAAGAAACCTATTGACTATATAACACATATAGTCACGGGTATCTGCCTTAAAGGCTATCTCCATTCATACTTGGCTTAAAATACCTACCTTTTTATGGTCGCCATTTCAATTGGAAGTATTAAAGATTGCCATTTTCTAGCCAATTTTGCAATTCATTCGAATATTTATGATGGTTTCGGTTTAATAGGGTGTCAATCAGAAATCAGAAAATATTTATTGTTTCATATACCTAGTACTTTTTTAACAACAATTTCCTTGTTGGTTAAAAGGGGTTTTACTGTACTTTAACATATGCTATTATAGTTTAACCTTGTCAGTTTAAAATTCCATTTGGGAACATGCATTATATGGGGGACTCTAACCTGTACCAAGCGTTCTTACATTTAATTTTAAGATCCACTATGTTAGCAACCCATTCAAATATTATTACTTGTCTACTAACTTTAACTGATAGACCCCAAATTTAACTTTGTTCATCACATCGTATTATAGTTACAATGGATTCTTCATTGTTCAAAACTAAGCTAGAACTGTTGTACAGTTCAAGCGCAGGTGATTCCGTGGCTGTTGTCATGGACCAAGAGGTCGTCATTGCTGTGGCCGTGTGATGTCTGCGTATCAGCTCCCACAGGCAGTGGCAAGACATTGGCCTACGTGCTACCAGTCCTACAGGTAAACATGATATTTGTTAACTGAAGTGTAGTTAAGAGTAATGGCCTAAACTTCCAATTGATACAGTGAACTTTGATCCGAATACGTGAAAGGAAAGCTGAGCAGATGTGTAGAGTATTCAGAATAAAGGATTGGCCTACTGCAGAAACCAGACATGTCCAAAATATCACAAATTGCATATTTATTATTTTTGGAGTATTGAGAACTGGACTCGACTTTACTGGAAGAACCAGACATGTACCATTACCTATATAGGACATAGGAGTAGAGTTATATTGAAATGTGCTCTTACTGCAGATAGTTTAAATGTTCGGGGCATGTTTTTTGTTTCTCCTGAAAAGTTATGTTTTTGACATGTCTGGTTTCTGCAGTAGGCAATTCTGCTTCTTCAACTAATTTTTATTTAGTATTAACCATCAAAAAATGATCAAGAACTTAACCATCATCCAACAAATTAGCTGGCTGTCATCATCGACAACTTTGAATAGTGCTAAAAGACTAATTATTTTAAACTATCAAAAGTTCTGTATTAAAGACTTTTATAGTTCAGCCGCTTAGAAAGCGACCTCCTCCAGCATTGGTTTAGCATTAGCGCGCAGGTCGTTTTCTAAGCGGCCGAACTATAGCAAAGTTTTCCCAACTAAACTACAAGTTTGATGTTACTTTAAGTAGGCTATTATATATTTTATGAAATAGAGAAGCAATTTACCCAGTATTTTACCTGTTAGGTAAAAGTCAAACAGGATATTTAGTCAACTCAATACTTAATAACTCAAATACAGGATTGTGGTTATTATATCATGAATTTTCCTTATATCATAAAGTTTGGGTGTTCAAAAACGACAATTCAAGTCAATACCGTACCTTTGGATATTTAAGAGTCTGAGAACGAAATTTTGTCACAATAGTTGAAGTTGCCAATATGAGACAACAGCGGCCAGCGCTGACAATGACCACAATGATGATTGAGTTTTCAAATACTGACTCGAGTCATCAGAATCAAGTACATTTAACTAGAGTTGGCTAAGAATCACTTTCTCACATCATTAATATACCTAACCTTTAGTGGCCTGCCTTAATTGACTAAGATTTTATTTTCTTTAAGATAAGCCGCAGCTATAAACCCATAACCTTGTTGTTCTGCTTTGTAGGCCCTAATGAACTGTCGCACTGGAGGTATTCAAGCCCTTGTGGTCCTTCCTGTTCAGGATCTTGCAGCACAAGTCGCCTCGGTAAATATATTTCTTAACGTCTACAGTGATAGCTTTCACCATAGTGAATAAAGAACAAAATGAAACTAGTTTATGTGTATTTTAAGTAGCCTTGACACCTTTTTATGCAATTATTAGTCCAATAATGTCAAAATTATGAAAGAATTATTCCTCAGTTTTGACACCATATGAGTAGTAGTTTAGTTAATTATAGAGGTGATAAGTCAACTGAAGTGCTTGTAAATTATCTAATTGCATCTGGGGTGCTGTCTCTAACAGTAATTAGTTAAACGTGTTAACCTAATCATAATACTGAAATCTAAGTACCTTACCTTAATAGGTATAATCGTTCATTATAAAATTTCTAGGATCAAAACTTTTTGTTTTCCTCAAACATAGCATCTGCATTTGGTATCAGAATCACTCAGTTATTTTGCAGGGTTTATTGCACAATAAGAAAAAATTCATGGCCAGACGGTTTACCCCTATATTGAAATGGCTTAGGCTACCCTACACGAGAGACTTTTTGTTGGCTGACTGTCTGGCTGGAGTTGGGTGGACAATCAAAAAGTCGTCAAGACTGTTTGGCCGTTGGCTGTGGGTGCGCACACGCCACGAGTGTATTGTTGTCTTTTAAGTGTCAAAAGGATGGATATGACAGAAATTGCTGCCATATGTGCGTTACTGATCAGATTTTGTCCAAGAAAACTTGAAAGAAAATTATAGACAATAGACAATTAATCTTTATTTACCCATTCATTAAGAATAGTAGTAGCGTCAACTGGGTACTACTCAGTGTACTATTGGGGTGTACTCAGTGTACGTCCAGTATACTACTGGGTGCATCCAGTTTATAGTCCGAGAACCTTGAAAGGCCAGTTTTGCCTCTTATACTCGGATTTGAGAAAATATCCGGACAAATACTCATTAATAAGTACCTCCATTCATCAATAATTTTATCAACTTTTTCCTCTTGCAAAACACTTGCACTTGTCGCATCCATAACACACTTGACTGTCTGTATAGCACACACACAACAGACTCTGTCAGACTTGGACAGACTTTTTAGTCGTCAGTGTGCAAGTTCAAACTTGTCTCTATGCCCTTATCAATACGACACGACAGTTGAGTCGGGGAGCAGTCGGCAGAAAAATCGGTCAGCCCCAAAATGTCCCGACTGTCTGGTTGCGGTCGGCCCGTGTGCACGCTCAGATTTACCACTATGGGGCCGACTTTGACTCCCAACTACCACAAAATAGTTGGCCGACAAAAAGTCTCTCGTGTGCGGTAGGCCGGTGTTTCCCAGTAATAATCCCAAAAGCTATGGCACAATGGCAGTGAATTTAATTAGCCTGCAAAAAACCGAGGGACTCAGATTCTGTTTGAATGTAATTCAATCAAAAATCCTTTAAAGCCTACCAAATTGCAGTTTACTTTTTAGCTAAATGTTGTCTCCAGAAGAGTTTATGATGTGGGAGGTTAGGTCAGGAATGAATCATTCATGTTCTTAGTTTCATGTTTCAATTTGCCCAGGTGTTCAAGACATACAGTGCTGGAACAGGGCTCAAAATCCACTTGTCAACTGGCGGAGTTTCACTTTCACAGGACCGGACCCATCTACTGAAGGAAAGTAAGTATCTGTGTTTTACCTTTTACCTTCGATGTCTTCACCACAATCCGTAGATCGGGGAATCGTTATAGTTCTTCCGTCTGGACGGGATTTTGCTGTATGTTCACGAAGTGAGCTGGCGTATGTGTGTGTATGAATGTTCCTCTATGTACTCGTTTATGCTGTAGTATGGTCTATTGGTGAGGTATTTTTTTAGGTGTTGGACAAAAAAATTGTTTAGGCCAAATATCAATTATTGTGTTAGGGTAAATCTTCAGAATATCCTAAAACTTGAGAATCTCATTCTGGGCTTAGTGGAACTCTGGCAGTAAGTTGAATAGTTTTCCAAGAAACCGCATATGCCCCAACTGTCGCATTTAGCAAAGTGATTAGTGGGGTGTCGGCCAGCCTATTCCAATTATAAATGGAATCTTTGCCAAATATAAAGTATTGTTACCCTCAAAAAATTACATATTTATAATTTAAAAAATCATAAATTGACAATTTTACCACATTTTTTCAAATTTCAGGATGAAATTACATTACAATCTTCTTTTTAAGCAACATTCATACAAAAGGATGCAAATTTTTTACTTTTTTAGCCATATTGGTTAGTCTCTACGTTTATACAAATATTTAATACAATTAGTACTTTCAATTCTTGTACATTGAGAATTATATGTCAACAATAATGTATCAACAATACAGTTTAATTTTTCTTATTAAAACCAAACACAAACACCCAACTTGAGAAAATCTTTATGAAATGGAATAGAGCCAGTCCTACATCTTTTCCCTATTCTTGTTTGTACAGGGCTAGGTGTTGGCTGGGAGAGTCTGGTAGATATCCTAGTGATCACTCCAGGACGTCTGGTAGAACATCTGTACTCAAACCCAGGCTTCTCTCTGAGACAACTACAGTACATTCTTGTTTGTTCAGGGCTAGGTGTTGGCTGGGAGAGTCTGGTAGATATCCTAGTGATCACTCCAGGACGTCTGGTAGAACATCTGTACTCAAACCCAGGCTTCTCTCTGAGACAACTACAGTACATTCTTGTTTGTTCAGGGCTAGGTGTTGGCTGGGAGAGTCTGGTAGATATCCTAGTGATCACTCCAGGACGTCTGGTAGAACATCTGTACTCAAACCCAGGCTTCTCTCTGAGACAACTACAGTACATTCTTGTTTGTTCAGGGCTAGGTGTTGGCTGGGAGAGTCTGGTAGATATCCTAGTGATCACTCCAGGACGTCTGGTAGAACATCTGTACTCAACCCCAGGCTTCTCTCTGAGACAGCTGCAGTACATTCTTGTTTGTACAGGGCTAGGTGTTGGCTGGGAGAGTCTGGTAGATATCCTAGTGATCACTCCAGGACGTCTGGTAGAACATCTGTACTCAAACCCAGGCTTCTCTCTGAGACAACTACAGTACATTCTTGTTTGTTCAGGGCTAGGTGTTGGCTGGGAGAGTCTGGTAGATATCCTAGTGATCACTCCAGGACGTCTGGTAGAACATCTGTACTCGACCCCAGGCTTCTCTCTGAGACAGCTGCAGTACATTGTCATTGACGAGGCTGACAGGATAGTAGACAACATGCAGAACAATTGGCTGCGTCACCTGGACCATCACTTGAGTGAAAGAGGTAATACAAGATGGGAGACTTATGGGGGGCAAGTCCAAGATGCCTGTTAGCCTCCCAGGGCTCCCTTTGAAAGCAATTACAAAAGCACAGTGCCCTAGATATTTAAATTACAATTACTTTGGTATTTGAAAAAAATATTTTGAGATAGTAATTAACTCTTCAGCGATTGTTTGAAATGAACAAAATTAACATTTCTCTTATGGGGGACCAAATGCAAGAATGCCGTTAGCCTCCAAGGACTCCCTTTAAAAATAATAACAAAACAACAAAACCACAAAGAACATTTCTAATCTCACAGTGCCCTAGCTATTTAAATTAAGATCACTTTGGTACTTGAAAGAAATCTTTTAGGATGATAAATAACTCTTCAGCAGCTGTTTGAAATTAATCCATAATGGCTGCTAGCCTCCAAGGACTCAAAAATTCAATTGCGGTCTGTTTCATGTGGTTGCACATTCACATTGAAACTTAAGTTGCATAATTTATATGCTATGTTTTACTTAATCCAATCTAAACTCTGCAGGTTGTCCTCCACTTACACTTCACAATCTGAAGCAGTTACCTCGTCGTCCGCAGAAACTACTGTTCTCTGCCACTCTCAGTACAGATCCTGAGAAACTTAATCATCTCAACTTGTTCCAACCACGTCTTTTCACTTCTGTCGTTGAGGCTACAAAAGAGCAAGGTAATTTCCTAGGCCTAATAGTTGGATAATTTAGTGGTGTTACACTGATTATCATGCAAATGATATTATTTGTTTTAAAAATTGTTGGTAATCACTAATCTGTTACTTCACTAATCACTGTATGAAGTGAACCAAGGCAACACTAAATAAACAGGCTGAAATGCTCCTCTGGCATGACGTCATCGTAGGCGACGGCAATGACATAATTTTTGCCGTTTTTGATCAGCTGCTTGTTTTCTTGGAAAAGAAAAATATAACCAAAAAATAGCATTACGTCATAGCCTATGATGACGTCATGCCTGAGAAGCATTACGGCCTGTTTATTTAGTGTTGCCTTGAGTGAAACCTATTGGTATTGGCATTGACTTTTAGATTCTGAAGTGGACATCACATCTATATGGGCCAGCTTTTTGTATTTAAAAAGAATGAAAAAGTCACAGAGTGTGTTAGTGTCTAAAATTATATTTTCTACTTTTATTTTTGTTACTGAGATAGTTGATCAATGATCGGACGTAACAGATTTTATTACTATAATAAATCATCCTATCAGTTTGAGTTGGCTAAAAGGTTTGCGTTTTCATAGTTTTTTTTAGAGAAATCAGTAACTGTACTGTTTTGTCATATGAGAAATAAATTCATTTATTTATTTATTCATTTATAAGTTGACTTTCTTAACATAAGGGTTCTATCAATAGCCAAAGGTTGAATTTGTGTTAATTTAAGTTTTGTTATAGATTTTGAGATAGATTTTTACAATTACTAATTCTTTCCCAATAGTAGAATTAATTAAACATTTATTTCATGTTTAGGAGCTGAAGGAGAGTTCATCGGCAAGTTCACGACTCCAGCTGAGTTGACGGAACGTCTAGTCAGGTGTACATTAGCAGTCAAGCCTCTGGTGTTGTATCAGCTGATCACAAAACACAGCTGGTCTCATGTGTTGGTGTTCACGTCCAGTTCCCGTTCTGTACATCAGCTGTGCGCATTGTTGTCTCTACTGGCCACCAAACACCAGCGGCGACTAAATGTGGCTGAGATATCTGCAGAGTCCTCGTTTAAGAAAAGGGAGGCCGTTTTGAGCGCTTTTACTGCCGGCAAGGTGGATGTGTAAGTTGAATTATAGTTTGGGTTGCAGTGCTATTTTGTGATAGAGGAATTTATCTTTTAGGGATAGAGGTTAAATAAAACATCCCAAATTGGTGTGGTTGTGTCGAGAATGCCAATTGAACACGTCCCTCTCTCTCATGAAAGTCCAAGACACCGACCTCAACGATAGAAACACCTTATTGAAGTTTAGTTTGGATTTTAAATGGTTATTGCCGGTTTTATTATAAAATGATGTAGTAGAAGAGCTACTGACATAGTTCTGATGTAAAATACTGATTTATGTTGTATATGCCAACTTGTTAACACAGCCAAACTAAAAGGACAACTTATTGTAAGCTTAGAATATATTTTTCTTTCTCAGAAACTATCACAGTAATAACAACAAAGGGAGAAACTACATTGTGAACTGTATCACTCTGTAAGTGGCTCATTCAACTATGTTATTTATTGAGACGCAAACTGTTTAGCAAATAAGTGGTCATTTTCTTAGTGACTTGCCGGAGGAATTTAATGAAACTATCATAAACATTCTAAAGAGGAAAACAATAATTGGGGTTTTAGAAAATTATTTTCTTTACCTGGAGGATAGTTATTTTGTACAACACATACGAGACAGGGTCTCAATGGCTTACCACTTTGTGTTTGCTCTTCTAAGGGTGGTGTTTTTTACATTCATTAATTATTCTATGGCCATGGTCAAAATAGACTATTGAATCAAAGTACACGTGAGAGTTCAATTGTAAGATTGCGCCAAAGACAAATTGTTGTAACACTTCACAAACATTGGCCAGAATTTTTTGATAAATCATTTTGGCATTCTCGCCAATACACTTTTTTTATTAGATTTTTAAACTCGTTAACTTTTATGGTAGTTGACCAAAAGCCATACGATATAGGTACTATGTTTTCAGTTTGGTGAGCACGGACGCGTTGGCTAGAGGTATGGACATTACTGGTGTGAAGTATGTGGTGTCCTATGACATGCCTAAGTTTGTCAAGGCCTACATACACAGGGTGGGCCGGACGGGTCGAGCGGGTCAACCCGGTACAGCAGTCACCATGGTTCAGCACACCCAGGTAAGTTTAAGGTCTGATAGGAAAGGGCTTATTGCCTGAGAATTGAGGAGTAAAAGGACAGGATGAGCAGGTTTACCTTGCAAATTGTAGGAAGGAACACAAAAGAAATAGGTACTGAATATTTCGAGGCCACTGGCCCCTTTTTCAACATTGAGAATCACTAGAATATGAAAGTCCTATGAACGCAATATGAACTTACAAATGAATTTTTACTTAGTGAGGTTATTTTAGTTCAACTAATAAATAAACCAAAGTGTCTCCCTTTAAATAAGGGAGCTCTAAAAGCAAAATGAATACACTTGGGCCCAGTGATTTTTTTGGCTTGCTAACTATTTTCTTTCCCTGTTAACCATGCTAGCTCATTTGCTAATAATTGTGTCCCTAAATATTGGCTCACTTGTTATTCCATCGAAGGGTTAAATCGTAGTCGAGATGCGAGGCTAGAACATAGCATCACCAACGCCAACATGCTAGCCTCTCCACTCGGATATTCTACTCTGATTTCTTTACCTCGAGAGTTTAGTCGAGGGTTGAGGCTCAGTGGTCAAACCAACAACAAAATATTTAGTTTATTTTTTTCATCTTGTAAACATTGTCCTGTTTGGGGCGAGTACTAAATCCATCACAATGTACAGGGTGTCCGTAAAGTCTTTGCCGATCATTTAAGATACCATTCTTGGACCAAATAAAAACTAACATATCCCGTTATAAATTTCAACAACTCTCTAAAATTATCTATAAAGCCATGAAATAAGAGAGAGAGAGAGAGAGGCAAAACTAATTTTTAAGATAACTTACAAATAAGAGAGTATGGTTCAGACAATATATGCGACCATTGTGTAGCATCACTGCTAGTTAGCTAGAACAATCAGCTATTTCAATTGTTAGTTACCTAATGAATGCAAATTTTGCTGAAAAGTCAAGGTTTTCTTAGCGACTATTGTCTTGGTTGGCTGATCCAAACTCTTTTCATTATCTAGTCCATCTCTCCTCTCCCTACATGATTCTTCTTCGTCCACCAGCTGCTATTTCACTTCTTTTTACCATACATTCCTCTTTACATCTTCTGGTTCTTCCTCAATCTCCTTTACTCCATTCTAGAAATTCTCTCTCGGGATTCTTTACACATCATTCCCTTACTCTTAACAACTTGTTTTGCTCTTAATAGCCCTTAAATATTCCACACTCTAACCCCAAAATCCATGATGGTTTTAATAAGTTAATGATCTACCTAAATATTTTGTTTATCCTTTACAATACTTTGTTTAATTGGATGCTTGCAGATAGGGATGTTTAAACAAATGCTGCAAACTGCTGGCAAACAAGATTCCGTCACCGAACTACCTGTGGATGAACAAGAACTTAAAGATCTTGAGGAACCATTTAGAGAGGCTCTTAAGGAACTGAAAAATGTGACCAAGGTAATGCTGGGCTCTACAATTTTGATTCTGCAACCTTATCTTAAGAGATTGACATTTCTTTGTCTTTGCATTTTCTTTACATTTGACTCTCCATGTCGCTCAAAAGCCTGTGATAAATCCAAATTTAAATTATCTACATTATAAATGGTGATATTTTATCAGCAAACTTAAATAAGCTTTCATTCTATATACATGAACTCTGTCCCGTTCAGTTACCTTGTTCGGAACCGAAAAAGGTTGAAACATCAGAAGTTATAAAAATGAGTGGAAAAACACAGCATTAGACAAAATGGGTGTGTTGTGTTCATAATGTCTTGTTCATAAAGTGGCTATTGACATAGCAGTGTTCGTTGGTCATACAGGTGGCTGTTCAAACAATCCAAAGAATCCAATTTACAGAACAGGACTTCTATTATGTTAAGACAATTTTGACAAATTGTTATAACTCTTAACTGTAAATACTAGTGATTGTGACTAAATTCTACATAAAAATTAGCATTTTAAAATTTGTCTCTTAGGATGAAGAGATGGAGAAGCTACAGAAGACAAAATCATTGAAAAGGGTTACGTCATCAAAGATACTAGGAAAGAGACAGAAGAAAAGAGAAAAGAATGTTATTGTAAAACGAATAAAAAAGCAGTAAGGTTTTGCAATTATACATTTTTACATGTTTGAATACAAATATTTTATTACACGAGATTGCTCTTTATTTCTAGTATTTTGTAAGGACCCCTCAGCTGAGTGTACTATTACAATAATTCTTATTGTACTTTACATTTTTCTAACTCTTTGACCTCCAAATGTTCCAAATGTGTCCTCCAAATGTTGATAGAAATAATGGACGCAAGAGTAACATAAGTAAACTTCCACTTATAATTGGTATTTTTATTCAAATTATTTTACAGAATTATAGCATGACATGATTATAGTTTTAAAACTCCAGATGACCTTAATGTAAAGTATTTAAATGTAAGAACACAAAATCTCATGAAAGTGATTAGCTCAATAAATTGTGATCTTTAATCCCACTGTCTACTCAAATCAGACTAAAAAGGTTTATGAGAACAGGATGGTTTTCGACAATTAATGAATTAATTAAATGAAATTAAATGTAATTAACAGTGCAAGAGGTGTCCTGTAATATACTGACCACATAAATAGTTCAATAAATCACGGACAGAACCAGGGTTTGATAGAGAGTTTGAATTGTCTGTCAAATGTGGAAAGCGAAGAATGAGAAAGAGTTGTCCTGCAATAAACTTACTTCTCACAGTTCAACAAACCACCGACAGAATGCAGAAGCATGTAGTTTGGTCACAATGAGTTTCCGCTGTCTGCCAAAAGGTTGCGTGGAAGGTGACAAATCAGAAAGAAATATTCTGTAATGAACTAACTTCTCACAGTACAACAAACCACCGACAGAATGCAGGAGCATGTAGTTTGGTTATGGCGAGTTTCCGTTGTCTGCCAATAGGTTGCGTGGAAGGTGACAAATCAGAAAAAAATGTTCTGTAATGAACTAACTTCTCACAGTACAACAAACCACCGACAGAATGCAGGAGCATGTAGTTTGGTTATGGCGAGTTTCCGTTGTCTGCCAATAGGTTGCGTGGAAGGTGACAAATCAGAAAGAAATGTTCTGTAATGAACTAACTTCTCACAGTACAACAAACCACCGACAGAATGCAGGAGCATGTAGTTTGGTTGCGGTGAGTTTCCGTTGTCTGCCGATAGGTTGCGTGAAAGTCGATAGACTTCAATTATATTGTTCTTTGACGTGTTCTCACAGATAAAGATAAAATGTGCATTGCAACGATTCGTCAAAAAGAAGAAACACTTTTTCATATAAATGTGTTTTATCTTTCTATAAAATCTTATTTTGGTAGAAACTATTATTCTACAAGGTGGCAAGCTGTCATTAGAATTTAGCAATTAATTTTCCTGGTTTTCTAGGATATAGGCTACTATATAACTAATTTTGATTTCTAGCAAAGCAAGTCTTTAAGTTACGGAAGAACTTAAGAATTAATTAATTTTAATGATAGGTAGTTTATCATAATGCTAAATGACAAAACATATGGACCATGTTTGTTGATTTACTTTGTTGAAAACGACTCTTCAACTCCATAACCAAGTTCGATAGGTTTGCCATTATCCAATTCAATGCAGTAATTAATTACTTATAATTACTATAATTTCTTATAGTTGTTGTCGCTGCTAAGCAACCATAAGGTAAGAACCTTTTTGAACTACAGTAATAAGTTGTGTCTACTGCTCATCTCTGTCCGTGATATTTTTTTTTTTACTTCTTCCTACAATCTTCCCATAAATCCAACGATCACATAAGATCAATGTAAAAATCGTATGTGATCAATTTTTGTGACTAATCTTATGTGATCGTGGTATAAATCAACATTCAGCATTTTTACTTTGGTATGAAAAGTTTGTGCAGTGCAGGTCGCAGAACGACCCTGGTCCGAAAAAGACTCCTATTTTGTTCATCAAATAACATTGAATAAAACCGTTCATGTTTTCAACAAATAACAGAAAGCCAGAAAGAGGGTAAATGTCATGTAAATGTTTTCAAACTATCATTGACTATTTATGAGTCTGCACCTGCAAGTAACTAGTCTCTCTGTGTGCGTTTGAGGCCCGGTAATGCCTGATCGTGTAGATGTTGACTAACTGTTTATTATAATTTTAATTCCAGGGCAATTTTACGTTTTGAGCATTATTATTAGTTATAACCCCTATACTAAAGTAAAAGTAGTAGTTATCAAATGAATCGTTATTTTGTTCAAAATAGCTTTAATGTTATTAGAATAAATAAATAAAAGACATCTTTACTATGTATCATTACCGTACTCAGTTGACAGACACAGTGATGACAAATTCACAAAGCTGTCCACGAGTTGACACATTACAAGGTCCAGAGGTGCCCATCCCCCCCAAACCCAGAGGCGCAACCCCCCCCCCCCAATTTATGCTGCCGTCTATTTAAACCTACCCTCCCCCCACCAATTTATCTGACAATTTTCCCTTTACCTCATAAAACAAGCATTCCAATTTAGTATTTAGTAAACTTGAGGTAAAGAAAAACAAACTTGCTGATAATAAAGATTAAATGTTTAATAGGAAACGAACAACATTTAACAATACTTCATTAGGTATATCTAACTAATGGACGAATTAGAAGTGTTTCAATTTACATTTCAGAATCTCTATTGTCAGCTAACATGTGTTCAGTATTGCAATAGACAACGTCTTCAAAACGTACAACAATACTACTCCAACACAGTATTGTAACTGTACAATATATTAGGTGGCGTTAAATTTTACAGAGAAAGAATCTCAGAGAAGAATTTTAAGAAATCAAACCGCTTTAAAAATGCATTAATAATACTTTGGCAAAAAGTTTTTTTTTTCTCAAAATTATAGGCAGTCACGAAATAAGACAGACTTGTTGCTCGCCACTCCCTGGCTCTACAAACACCGCCACTCCAAACAACACACTCCAAAAACTCGATTTTACTCTACAAAAATCGCCAGGCAAAATACCCACAAAAGGTTTTTGTGACGAAGTAATCTTATAATTAATTTTGATAGCCCCAGGATTGCCTTTTAGGACTAATAATGGTAGAAACGCATCTTTGTCAGACAATCTGTTTATACACAAAACACGAAACGATAACAGATAGGCCTATCAATTCACGCGTATATATTGCCGTCGTCAGGACTGGAAGTAAACTGAATCAGGTTATGACGGAAAGACGTGGTCTCTGGATTGTCGTCTGTGTTATCAAAAGCTGATATTGGACTAGTTGTAGTGACGGAGGAGAGTGTTGAAAATATAATGGGATTCATAATTGAGTTTTCCATTTAAAATTATTGACAATAATAACCAATTTATCTGCTGGATATAAATTATGGTCTCGAAATTCTACAGTACTGCACGAAAGGAAACTTATTAAATACTTTGAGGAGTTTGAAATATATAAATACATAAAACTAGGGACAGCGCAACATTTTTGAGTGAAAACACTCAATTAATTATGAATCCCATTATACTTTTAACACTCTTCTCAGTCACTACAATAGTCCTATATCAGCTGGTGACAATGCAGACGACAATCCAGAGACCACGTCTGTCCGTCATAACCTGAACCTGATTCAGTTTACTTCCAGTTCTGACGACGGCAATATATACGCGTGAATTGATAGGCCTATCTGTAATCGATTCGTGTTTTGTGTGAGGGAGGTAAAGAACCACCAAAACATATGTAGCAAATCAAATTCGACACTGACACTGGTATTTTTAGGATTGTCTGACAAGGTGCGTTTTTACCATTCTTTAGAAGCAAATCTTAATTACGAATGGCAAAATGTTGTTGGTGTTGATAGTGAGCTACTTAGAAACACTTTTTCGGGCTGCTTATACAAAATTTTTCATTCATTATGACAGCTAGCAAAAAACATCCCCCCCAAAATCCCCTCAAAAAAGTCCCCCCCCAAAAATTCCTGTGGCGCAAACGCGCCACAGTACCCCCCCTCTGGGCACCCCTGACAAGGTCAACCTTTTCATCTTCATCCTATTCTACTCTCGGGACCAAACTCTTTTGAGTCAACATTTCATCAGGAACGGTTTCCGTTTGCCAAATATAAACGGCGGACGAGTGAGAGGGCGCCATGTGTCGATCCCTGTCATAATAAGCGGTGATTACGCAGCCCCGAGGCCGTATCGCGTATAGTTGGCGAGGCGATCGATGCTCGAGTGATGAGGGTGCTCCTCTACTGGCTGTTGC